TTTTTTTTTTTGTCGGCAGTTTTTTTTTTGTTTTAGTTGGGGATCGAATCCCACTGAACAGTGTACAGTCCGAAAGGATCCCTAAGAAATCAACTGAGAAGAAAGCATGTGGCACGACACGTAATTACCGGCACATTAGAATGTTCAATCCAACTGTTTTTGTTTTTGCCGCCAAAAATGATCGACCGTTCAAATCTTTGATTTCGCGCACTTTCGAACTTTGATCTCCTTTCATTTGAATTCAAGAGTCTTTAGTCTTTTCCGAGGAGTCGTACTTCGTCATACTTCTTCTGTTGTTTAGAGTCACTTTTATTTTACATTTTTTCCTCCACCTCCTGATGCTCGGGCGTTTGCTAAAAATTGTTTCTGCTTTTAAACAGTGCTATCTTCATGGAATAAAATATGCCTCTAAAAGAAATCAACTTTTCTGCAATCATAGCTGTGTTAGCCAACTCGGGAATCTTCTGGCTCTTTTTTTTTTTCATCTTTTAACTGCTGTGCTATGCGTGTTTGAAAAAATATTTTAAAAGATTGGGTTTTCTACGATACGGTAAATAACTTCAAGCAAGTCCTTAAGATTGGGAACTAGACATCGCGCACTGATGGAGGTAAAATCTCTTTAGCAGATAAAATATTCTGCAAATTTGACTAACTACCGGTTCCTATGAATCTAAGAAGCAAACTTTTGAAAACCGTAAAGCAGGAAAGCCTTCATTACCCTCAAAAAAAAAAAATTCTAAATTTTTTTTCTAAGACTTTGAATTTTTGAAACGAGATTCCTTTTTTAGGAAAACGACGGCCACACCTTCCCTTGCCGCTGGAAGTCTTTGAACTCTGATAACAGATAACAATTTTATTACTTTTAAAAGTTATTTTATCGCTTTTTTTTTCTGTATTAAGATGTTTTCGAATACAGGCAGGAACTTTGTCTTTGTTAGAATGCTGAATGCTTTCTAGACTGAAGTTAGGTTCTTTAAGGTCAAGTTCTTTGCCTTCTCTAGAACTGTAGCTTTCGTATTTGACATAAAGACATTCTCGTTTTCTTTATTGTCTACTCTTTGAAAACATGGAAAGAAATAGGTTCATCTGGGAAAATAATCAATTTGATGCCCGTTCTTTAATCCAATATACAAGTCTTACGCATCAGCAAAAATGATATCTCTTTAAGATATGAAGTATTCCTGGCTATTAAAACACTGTAAGATCTCTAAGATTTTGTGGAAAATATTGATCGGCACAGTGCAGTAATAGGTTTATTGTTTATTTGGATAGTTAGGTAGCAATTTATAAAACTAGGCTCCTTGCAGTTGCTGATTTCCAGACAGAGCAAACATAATTTTTTGACGAGAAAACACGGGTAACTCGCATTGAGTCATCTCGTATAAACACCTGCAGACCCAGCAGTTGGGCAACGTGTTTTCTCTTCTACGGCCCCGTAACTTGAATTGGCAGCCACCAGTAAATACTTTGAACGGTGGAAATACTGCTGCGAAAGTTATAAAATTGTGCTGCAACAGAGCACCGCTGCTAATGAGACGAAAATTTAATCGGTTACCGTATTATTCTTCGGTTTTCGGTCGATCAGGCGCCAGCGGCTGATTTCAGCATTACATTCTATGGATTTTAGCTTCTGACCACAAGTGCATAACTTTTACCTCGTTCTTTGATTTATGTGTTGGTTTAATTGATTATTCATCATAAATTCTACCTTTATGGGCCTGTACGCAAGTAGGAAGGCAGTCTTAATTTCTCTATTTACAGTGCTAGTTATATTTATTTTTTTTGTTACCGAGGAGGTTATTTGAGTGAAGTCTGTTCTCAACTTTGTCTAGCTCCAGTGACTTTATTATTGAGTTTTTTTGATCGATTACTAATGAGAACGGCATGATTTATTAGATAAATTGTAATTGAAACGGCTTAGTTAGTGGTACTGCTGTTAAGGAACAGGTAAATTTATCTTCCATTTTCTACTTTCGACTTGTTTGAGTAACATGACTGTGTCTCCAAAAGATGACTGGTATTTAGAGGACATCTTTCTTCTTGTTTAATTTAGGGGTAAAACTTCTGTCGTGTATATTTAGCGATCTACCTTAATATTTTCTTTTTTTTTTTTTTTT